TTACAGCGGAGGAGCATGGAGATATTGCGGATGCGATCTCAGCTGCTGCAATAAAGGTCATCGAACAGTTCCGCCCATGGATCTCCTCTGTCGAGTCGATGAATTTAGCTCCGTTGGGGACCAGCTTCCAGAATCCCCAGCTAGTAGATTTCAGCTTGCAAAAGCAAAGAGTCTACGATGCTATTGGAGATTTCGTCCTGAGCTGTCAAGCAGTCTCTGCCCCTCTGGCTGACGAGTGGGCCGATCTTCGCGGTAACTCACTCGACGATCGTGTCAATGCCGTGCGAGGCATCGCCAGGCAATTGGAGAACTATGTCTCCCAGATTGGCTTCTCCCTATCGCTGCTCCTCGAGCAAATCCCCACCGAACCAGCATCAACTTTAGGACGCGATAGCCGCCAAGAAGTGGAAGATGAGTCGTACAAGAATCTGCATAATCGAGGCGAGTCCAAGGCCAAGATTGCCACAGAGTCAATCGGGATTCCATCTTCCTACGCCCCTGAAAAGGAAGGCACCAATAAAGTACGAAGAAATATGGACAAGGCACAACGATTCTTTGGCCAGGCGCCCCCGACAGCTATCACCCGAGAGCCAATCCGGGAGCCAGTCCGTGAGCCCGAAGAGACCCCCTGGTTCTTGAAAATGGCCCATGAAGGCGAAGTGTTCTACGATAACAAGGGAGACTTGCCAATCCTCAAGTGTGGAACACTTGCAGGATTGGTTGAACACCTCACCCGCCACGATAAGCTTGATGCATCTTTCAACAACACGTTCCTCCTCACCTATCGCTCTTTCACTACTGCTACCGAACTATTTGAAATGCTTGTTCAGCGGTTTAACATTCAGCCTCCATTTGGCCTGAATCAAGATGATATGCAAATGTGGATCGATCGGAAACAGAAGCCGATTAGATTCCGTGTTGTCAACATTCTTAAGAGTTGGTTCGATCATTTCTGGATGGAGCCTAACGATGAACTGCATATGGATCTTCTGCGACGTGTCCATAACTTTACCAACGACTCAATCGCTACAACAAAAACCCCAGGAACCCCTACATTATTGGCCGTGATCGAACAACGACTTCGAGGCCAAGACACAACTGTCAAACGCCTTGTTCCGACTCAGAGCACGGCCGCACCAACACCAATCATCCCTAAGAATATGAAGAAGCTGAAGTTCCTCGACATTGATCCGATGGAGTTTGCTCGACAGCTGACCATCATTGAGTCGCGCCTCTACTCCAAAATTCGCCCCACTGAGTGTTTGAACAAGACATGGCAGAAGAAGGTCGGCCCCGATGAGCCGGAACCATCTCCCCACGTCAAGGCCTTGATTCTTCACTCGAACCAGCTTACCAACTGGGTTGCCGAAATGATTCTCACTCAAGGCGATGTTAAGAAGCGCGTTGTGGTAATTAAACACTTTGTGAACGTGGCTGATGTATGTGTCTTTTAATGTTTGCCAAAACCTGGCCTCACTAACCCGATTATACAGAAATGTCGCAACCTGAACAATTACTCTACCCTGACATCCATCATTTCTGCTCTTGGAACCGCACCCATTCATCGTCTAGGTAGGACGTGGGGTCAGGTTAGTGGACGCACGTCCGCAATTCTGGAACAAATGCGTCGGCTTATGGCTAGTACGAAGAACTTTGGCGAATACCGAGAAACCCTGCATCTTGCTAACCCTCCCTGTATTCCGTTTTTCGGTATGTATCACCATTTCAAGTAGATTAACTTGGAGTATCTCACCCTTTTGATTTATGGCTAACACATCCTAGGCGTCTATCTTACGGATTTGACCTTTATCGAAGACGGTATTCCATCTCTAACACCTTCAGAATTGATCAACTTCAATAAGCGGGCCAAGACTGCAGAAGTAATTCGGGATATCCAGCAATACCAGAATGTGCCTTATCTTCTGCAACCCGTCGGCGAACTGCAAGATTACATTCTCAGTAACCTTCAAGGTGCTGGCGACGTACACGACATGTACGAACGAAGTCTGGAAATCGAGCCTAGGGAGCGCGAGGATGAAAAAATTGCAAGGTATGCCGAAGCCACAAGCAGAGACAAGGGCTCCTTGTTGTTTGCATCCACCGTCGCTATTTTGCGATAATTGTTTTTTTTTTTTTGCTTAAAGAAGAAGAATGGCGTTTGGCTTCTCGGCGATACCCAAATTTGACCTCTAACATATTTTCCTTTTTTTTTTTTTTCCTCTCAAAACTCTTCGGCTGTTGAGACTAACCGTTTTTGATTGTGAATCTCGTAGATTACTATCTGAGTCCGGTTTCCTGTAACCTGTCAAAGATCCCTGTCAAGTTACGCCACACAGGTTCGACACATCTACCATTCGTGCTTCAATCGACGCCACTATTTTACCGATCGCCGACACGGGCCAAATCCGCTCCTTTTGGGGCATTTTCGGACCTCATGACCGTGTTTGGACTGTTTTAGTCTCCACTCGCCTCTCAGGGACACTCGCAGATCGATTTGTCGCATACATCTTCCAAAGACCCACCTTTGAGCATTTCGCATCTTACCCTCACATGCATCATTGCACCGAATCCCGACTCCGTACTCGGTTCTCGACCATTTTCCCCGACACTAGAGCTGTTCGATTTGTTGGGTCTTTTTGTCCTATTCCCCCTTTTGTCCTACTTCCATGTCCTATCTTCCAGATGAGGTTACCTGCCTCTGCGGCTTGCACTCACCTCTTTGTACTGACACATATTCTGGCCATTTTCTTGGTGTACATTTTTTGGCCTTTGGATTTCACTTTTTTTTTCTTTTTCAACATATCCCCTTGTGTTGTCGCCAGGTTGGGGCGATTTGCATTTTTTTTTCTTTCAAGCTCATGTCCTCCACGCCGTCTTCTGAATAATGACACGTCAACGACTTGAGACTCGTGTTCCTGTCTGATGGATGTTACCCGGTGGAGTTGGCTTGGTCATTTCCACTTCATTATATACAGTGTTCCAATACTTATTTGATTGTTGTCTGGAATTTGCGTATTCCGCTCCAATAGAAATTGATTGTCTTGGTTTATACTTACTTAGGCTAGTGGGGTAACTATATTACCCCATGGGGGCCGCCGGTATTTGTGGTTTATTGCCCTTGCCCAGGACGCCTACAAAACGGTAAGATATGAAGTCGTAAGTTCGTTCATTCGCAGGAACTGCAATTTTAGATATTCTATGATTTTCATGGATCGAGAAAGACTGCTGCTCATGGCAAGGCCCGACCACCCGAGAAATGCCAGAGAATATGGCGAGACAAAGGAATAGAAGATTATCAACCCGCTGAGCGCCAAATACAACAGTTCAAGCTAAAGAAAAAAACGTGGCAGTCATGTCATCTATGGGATTGAGCACCCATCATCTGAGCCGAATCACTCTGTCGAATCTGTCGAAGGAGTCTGGTTTCCGATGCCGTGGAAGAGCTTCATCTTCGTTTCGGAAGCCAAGAGACCCTTCACCTCCTCCGCTACAATCCGCTGTCCACCGCGGACAACCTTATCCAGTTGTTGATCTTTGGTATTGACGGCACCGGCACGAGGACCAGTCACTTCCATTCCACGCGCGGCTTTGCGCACTTTCTGGCTGAGATCCATGATCTGCTTGTTACCAAAATCACGGGAGGTGAATAGCGGGCTCTGGCTGAGAGTCGCCACCCAGTACTTATTCCATAGAAGGGACAATATTTCTGTATCCAGAGTGCTCTTGAAATGACTGACATCAAGAGAGTAGTACTGGTTGGCATGTGCACCAAAGTCCTCCGCCTTGCCGAGCGGGATAGTCTGATATTCGTCGTCCTCATGGGCCTCCTTCTGCGGGGTGAAGTTCGAAGGGAATGTTCGGAAAGCACCGATCTCAACACGGCCCGCGGAGATGGTACGGTCTGGATCGATGACGACGGCGACAAAGGGTCCAGTAATTTGCTGTGTTTGCTGAGTGGCGACATCAATCCCAGACAGCCAGCACCCATATCCAGGGTGACTGTGATACCATCCGACAGCATTTTCCATCCGCCCCGCGTCTCGACACGATTCTAGATATGATACCATGTATTCGTTTGCCTCCTCCTGTGCATTCACTCGGGTCTCGGTGCCTTCGACTGGCAGCCGGAATGCATCTGTCACAACGAAGGTGTTTGGTAGGATGTAGCCCTGCATCAGACCCATAATCTCTAGTGAGCCACCTGAGCGGGCGTGCATCACCATCTTCAATAGTGCCGTAGCGGAGATTCGGACGTGCTTGAAATAGTATGGGTCGGTAGCCCATGGTCGCTCGGCGTTGAGGGCTTTTTCTGTATCGGCATTGTATTCATAGAGGGCGTCTCGTTGGGGGTCGAAGACGCTTATCGCGTTCTCGAGCTCTGTGCGGGGGACGTTGGTCAATTACAAGCTAGTTGTCATATGGGTATGGAGGTACTCACCCCAGGCCTGCTGGGCAGCCTGCATCTTGGATGGATGGTAATGGAACAGGCAGTCGAAGGATGCGTAATGTATTGAAAGAATCAGAGTACGTAAGGCAAGGGTTCGGCGATAATGAGAGTTCTGCAAGGACCGGAGAATAAATAGTATCAGAAGCCAATGTATTAAGTAGAATGGCCGTGGGGTTGATCATTGATTGGCAGTATTGGGCGGTGGGTCTGCTGAATCAGCCGTTGCCCAGGACGACGATCGCGCCCAAACATCCACTTGCGACCTTGGAAACTTGATGTTATCATCCGCGATTTCAGTGCTTCCCCCTCATAAACAACAGTGTGTTCGCTGTCCCATGTCGCTCCCCTAAGTGCTCTCACAAACCTCCACTCTCGTTTATTCCCGTCGCACCTTGTGTGCTGAGAACCCTGTGTGCCAGGCTCTCTTGTTTTGATCCCGACATTGGTCACCCTGTCGCAGCTTTGCTCGGCACTGTGTCGTTGGATTGGATACATCCCATTCTTTGTTATCAATCTCGACTTTTGTCACACCTATTAAGGCACTTTCATTACCATGGCGGTAGACACCAGCTACCTGACCACTCAGGTCAACAACATCGTCGCTCAGCTCCATGGAATTTACGACGAGATTGGAGTTCCTGCGCGCGAGCGCGAGTCCCGCGAGGCGGAAGTAAGTTCGGTTTTAGTGTAACAATGGCATTGTCGCGTGGCTGACAGAGTGATACAGCTCTTCAGTGCCCTGTCGGAGACCTTGAACAACCATCTTAAGGTCGTCGATGAGTGAGTAGCACCTATAATCAGACCCAATGGAGGGTTGCTAATTGTACCTCTAGAGAACGAGAGGATATGACCCAGGAAGCAGAACGTCTCATCACAGCGATTCAACAAATGGAATCATCCCTGAGCGATGAACGGGCCAATGGCCAATACGAACTTGACCACGACGACCTTCGCGTCACTTACCCACTTAACAAATGTATTGCGTTCTTGCGCGAGAAGAATGACTCGATGAGCAAGTTGCATCGCGAGCGCTTCGAGCAGGTCAAGAGTGAGTGTTATCTGTGCGGTGTTTCGCTGATGCCCGTTTACTGACATCGAATAGAACTTGTCGACGCGCTTGAATCTTACTCCTCCCATCTCGAGCCATCATTTGTTAAGCTCGAGCTTCCTCCCACTGCGCCAGGGGCGTCGATTCCCCCGAGCTTCGACCTTTCGCCTATGTATGTCACCGCATTGGATGCCGAATTCACCCACGTCTACGAAGAATACCATCGCCGTATTGCCCAGGTCCAATCTGCCTGCGAAGAAATGATCAAGCTATGGGCCGAGCTCGGAACACCCCAGGCCCAAACAGATTCCAATATCATGAAGTGTTATCGCGAATCCCCTGAGCAACTGGGTCTGCACGAAGATGATATCGTCAACCTCATGGCCAAGCGCAATAAATTGGTGGAAGAAAAGAAGGGCCGCGAACGCAAGATCAACGACCTCAGAAATACTGTTATCTCTCTTTGGGATCGCTTCGGTGTTGAGGAGGCTGATCGCAAGGCATTCCTGGCTGCGAACCGTGGCTGTGGCTTACGCATAATTAACGACCTTGAAGAGGAATTGACACGTCTCAATGAACTTAAGAGACAGAATCTCCACCTGTTTGTGGAGGATGCTCGCTGCCGATTGCAGGAACTTTGGGATGGTCTCTTCTTCTCCGAAGAGGAAATGCTCGATTTCACACCTGCTTTCTCCGATGTGTGCAGTGATGCCTTGCTCGAGGCTCACGAGGCCGAAATTACACGACTGGAGCATATTAAGGAGCAGCGAGCTCCTACTCTCGAAATGATTGACAGACACCGCACTCTTCTGACAGACCGGGAGGCACTTGCGACGTCAAGCCAAGATGCATCCCGCCTCATGGGCCGCGGGAACAAAGGAGAGAAGCGTGACCCTGGAAAGCTCCTGAGAGAGGAGAAGATGCGCAAGAGAATTGCCAAAGAATTGCCGAAACTTGAAGCTGACCTCCGGAAAGAGTTGGAACATTGGGAAGATGAATTCGGCCGACCATTCCTGGTGCACGGAGAGCGATATCTTGATTCGTTGACACCTGTCAGGTCAATGCCTCCACCACGCTCAAAGACGCCATCTGCACCACCCTCAACTACCAAAGCAAGCACAATGAGGCAGCAGCCGCCTACCCGCCCTGGAAGCTCCATGAGAGGCCCACCCCCTCCCCGCTCTGCCACCAAGACCCCCACTAGCAGCGGCCCAGTTAAACACAACACCATTGGATATGGTGCCTCTCGAGCTGGGGCCACCTCAAGAGCTGGTGCATCATCCCCTTCAAAGCTTCCCGCCCGTGTCCCGCTGGGAAATATGCCTCATGGAAACAACTCCCCTGAGCGTCGTATCCAACCCGGTGCCTACTCGTCCAGCACCCTTGGAAAGATGCCGCCACCGCGCGGACCTCCCCCACGAATGCGTGCGTTGACCGTCGAGTCAAGGGAAGACCGCTTCAGCCACCTTATGGAGCCACCTCGCTGCAACAGTGCTATGTCAAGTGCCTATGTGCGGCCTGTTAGCCCCGAAGACGTCTATGATGACCGGCAGCGATCCTTCATGAGCAACTCAGGATTCTCGAACTCGCAAAGGTCCACCGGATTCTCTCACTCGTCTCACTCCTCACAATCGTCACTGTCTCTGAACTCCTCTAATCAAGCCTTCCCCCGACCAAACCCGTACTTGCAGCACGCAGCTCCTCCCCCAGCTGCCCGTCAGGTCTCCAACGCCTCTACAGTCAACACTGCAACCTCTGGATCTGAGAACTGGGAGACATTCGAGGACGGCTCGGGATCAGAGGCCGACCCCAGTGATATTTACTATTCTAAACTCCGTGCTGCACATGGAGGAAAGCGATTTGCACCTGAGGATGGATCTGATCTCACTGGCAAGAAGTCTAAGGGTATTCGCAGTGTCAGTCCAGATGGTCCGCATCCCGGGCAGGTCCTGCGCGTTGCTGGCAGTGACAACGAGTGGGCCGATGACTACGAAACTTACTAGATGTTCCGACATCGCCTCTCATAATGCATCTCACAATTTGCACCTCATTTATCGGCGCCTCGGATGTTCAACGGGGGTTACGCAACCGTTGACCTTTGATGATCCCACGACTGGATTCTGCACGGCTCATGATAAACCTTGGCTTCCCTTTCACGACTGAGCTCCCTTCGATTCCTTATGGGCAGTTTTCTTCTCTCTCCACATACGATAATTCCCGAGGGGCCGACTACAACTTCTCTTCCTGTTCAAAATTACGAGTTTATCATGTCATTGTTCATGCTCTCCTTCATCTGTTGATGTTGAGACCCCTGCACCTGACTGTGTCATGGCGCAGCCTTCCGAGGATTCCTGTCATTCACACCTTTCCCGACTGACACCCTCGCTGCTTCGATTCCCTCTGGGTTTAATCTTTTCCTTTTTCTGCTCTTCTTGGCACGGTGTTATCTTTGTTTCTTTGTCACTTATGGTTTCTCTTGGCTTGGTGCTTATGGCTTTATTCCCTGTTCGATCTCCGGTTTTGGGAATCGGATTTTGTTGGTTTTCACCATTTTTCTATGTATTTGTCAGCGAAGTACAGTGTTTTGATATAGTGTTGTTAATTCTATCTGCTTCCTCAAGCATTCAACGATATAAATACATTTTAAGCTGAGACACTTGACTTCTTTATGGCTACTCGTCCACTGCACTGAGGTATGACTTGGTTTGTAGCCTCAACAAGGCGATCTCGAGATATCACATCATTGCTCAGGACGGACTCCGTACGGAGCTAACGGGGTTCTAGATAGCGCTATTAGGCTACCGTCAAACAAGCCCCAGACTTCTTTGGGGCTGAATTCCATCTCTTAAATTCAACTTCATAGTTGTTCAACGCCAACTACAGAAGCTCAGATCTGCGTTGCAATGGCGTCCACTGCGATCGGGGACACCTGTGATAGCCTCTTTGGGCCTGTAGTCAGGCAATACAGTTGTCGTGGCGGGTTCGACTTTACAGGTACATCTTTCCGGGGTCTCAGCGTCTGGGCATTCTCCACATATGCTAATATCGCGAAGTTCTATTCGAAGCTTGGATATTCAATATTACCCCAGCAGCCTGTTTTCTCCTGCTGTTACCTATCCGCCTATTTCAGCTGTCCAGAGAGTCCTTGAAAGTAAAATCTTCATCAATTCATTTAGCGACGCTGGTGAGTTTTGCTGTCTATCAATGGTCCGGGCTGAAACGTCTAAATAATGCCCTACACAGGCTATTGCAACAGTATTGGCAGGAATTCAAGTCGTCCTGCTTGTATTTACTGCGACGCAGCACTACCCCGCACAATATGTGTCGCTTGCGGGTACTACCCTCAGCCTTATAGTGGCCGTTTCCATTGTCGTTCTGCTTCATTTAGAGCACAGCCGAGCTGTTCGACCCTCGTTCCTCGCCTCTGCATATCTATTTATTACGGTGCTTCTAGACATTGCGCGAGTACGTACCGCCTGGCTGTTACCATATGGTAGAGCATACCCGGCCTGTCTCGCCGCGTCTCTGGCCACCAAGTTGCTCCTCCTGGTGTTGGCGAATGTTGAAAAACGCAAATGGTTATTGCCGGCCGAAAAGGCTCAGTCTATTGAGAGCACAAGCGGGCTCTTTAGTCGGGGATTCTTTGCCTGGCTCAACGAATTGTTGAGAAAAGGACACACCTTGTTGCTCACTGCCGATACGCTACCTAACATCCACGAGAAGCTATCGTCTAGTGATTTATCGGACCGATTTTCAAAGTCATGGGCATTGTGTGATCAGGGTCGTCAACATGCGTTGCTGCTAGCTATCGTCAATTGCCTTCGCTGGGATATTGCTGCTATCGCTTTTCCTCGACTCGCCCTGATAGGGTTCAACATCGCGCAGCCATTTCTAGTTGGCAAAACCGTCACATTCCTCGGGCAGACTGAATCTTCGTTGAATATTGGCTATGGATTGATAGGAGCTATTGCGATTGTCTTTATTGGAATTGCTGTAAGTCTTATGTCTTCAACGACTTATTCCATTATACCGGATGATCATTGACCAACTGGTATTTGTTATTCAGGTCACTACGGCATCTTATGAGCACCTAGGGTTCCGTGCTACGACTATGGTCCGCGGTGGCCTTATGTCTCTTGTATATCAGCACATGATGGAGCTACCACTGGGGAGCACCGATGAGTCTAGTGCCATGTCTCTCATGGGCGCCGACGTTGAAATGCTCGCAGAGTACTTCCACTCTACAGTGTGCGAATCCTGGGCTTGCATAATACAGCTAGGACTGGCGGCCTGGATCCTTCAGACTCAGATCGGTGTTGTCTGTGTCACACCCATTATAATTGCAGCAGGTATGTTCTTTAATTTTGCCTTGTAAATGGTCACAATGTATTAATCGAGTTGTCAGCTTTTACTGCTGCTTCCTTTGCTATGGGCAATGCTGTGTCCGCTCGGCAGAAGACATGGCTACAAGCTACAGAGAAGCGCATCAATTTCACCAGCCATGTCCTCGGCTCAATAAGAAATGTGAAATTTCTAGGGCTAACAGAGACTATAAAGAAATCCATTTCAGACTTGAGGATTGAAGAGCTTGAGATTTCCAAGAGATTCCGCCGGGTTCAAACCCTCCGTGTCTGCATGGGTATGTAGACTTGCAAGTCCCTTAATAAGGGAAATTCGATTGAACACCTCGGAATCATATTAACAAACGCATTCAGTAAATCTTCCAACGATTCTTGCGCAGTTTGCCACTTTTGCGACCTATGCTGTGGTTGCGAAGGTGCAAGGAACTGATGGTCTTTCCGTCTCACAAGCCACCACGGCCCTTTCACTGATAAACCTGCTAATCAGTCCTCTCATGCATCTATTGATGGCAGTCCCAGACACGTTCGCATCAGTAGGATGTCTGTATCGAGTGCAGGAATTCTTGAGACGTCCAAATATTGTTGGTAAGTATTCCTAGACGTGCTCTACTGAGCAAGATGTACGGCGAATTAACCTAATTTACGCGCAGAAAGAAGAAAACTGCTCCAACCGGAAGAAGACACTCCTGCCTTATCTACCAATTCGTTCGAATTTGAACTCGGGGCTAGGGGAACTTCCTCAGCGAACCAATCTGACATGCTGATCTCCCTGCGAAATGTCCGGTTTGGTTGGAATAGCTCTCCGTCGGATAGTACTGGTATTACACTCAATCTGAGTCCCTCGCCCTTGGGTAATCTGGTTGCAATTGTCGGTCCTGTGGGAAGCGGAAAGTCCACGTTCCTCAAAGGCCTTGCAAATGAGACGTCCGTTCTCGATGGCGAAGCCTTCATCAAGTACCCAGACCTGGCTTTCTGTGAGCAAACTCCATGGCTAACCAATACAACAATCCGGGAAAACATCATTGGAGATAATTCATCCGCTGCGTTTGACGCTAATTGGTATTCGACTGTGGTGAGCGCCTGTGCGCTGGATTCTGATCTTAAGAAGATGCCAGCGGGTGATCAGACGTCTGTGGGTAGCAAAGGCACCAAACTCAGTGGAGGGCAAAAGCAAAGAATTGTAAGTGCAAATTATGTTTCCCTCTATGTGGGCAATCTAGCCTGAAAATATTAGCAAAGGGTTTGTGAACTGATTTTATTATAGGCCATAGCACGAGCTGTCTATGCTCGGAAGCGAATTGCGTGCTTCGATGATACTTTGAGTGCTCTTGATAATGCAACTGCTCGACTAGTATTCAACAATGTCTTTGGTCCGCTCGGGCTGCTGCGTCGACTGGGCTGTACTGTATTCCTCGCGACTCACAATGGTGTGTCTCCCAAACCCTCGATAGGTCATCCGGTGTATACTGACAACCAGCAGTTCAATATCTACCGCACGCCGACTTTATAGTCGTACTTGGAGAGAATGGCAATCTTTTGGAGCAGGGCAGCTTCTCTCAGCTTCTCAGCCATACAGGAGGATATGTTAACCGACTGGGTATCCGACCAGGACAGATCGAGAAAGAAGAGATGCAGAATGACAATACGACCGGGCTTCCAGAGACCGAGGGAATCATGGCGAGCGGCATATCCACTCCGGGTTTTACCGATGAACGCCGAAAGACGTCTGATTTCACTGTTTACAAGTACTATTTCTCTGCCATGGGGTGGACCCGAGTCTGTGTGTTTACTTTCTTACTGGTGGTGAATGGTGGCATTGGTGGACTCCGCAGTATGTCAAACCTCTTGATTAATGATCCCGTATGGTGCTCATTTTTGCATAGATGCTTGGATTGGGATGTGGTCCTCTAGCCCCGACAGCACTTCAAGCTCGGGATTGGGTTATTGGCTTGGACTATATGGGGCATTCTCTTTCATCGAAGCCGCTTCGATGGTTCTTGTGGTATAGTAAGTGATGCCTTCTTTCTTTTCGCTTGGATTTTCGTACTAATTGCTTTTCATCTATAAGCTGGACCTGGGTCGTGATTGTACCGGCTGCATCGAAAAATGTTCATGCTACTGTGTTGCAAACTTGCATGGGGTGAGATTTCCAATTCTTAACCAATCGGGATACCAACCGGCTAACATAACTAGTGCTCCTTTGTCCTTCCTATCTCACGTAGATACGGGCTCTCTCATCACCCGTTTCAGCCAAGACATGAGGCTGGTGGATATGATCCTCCCTCGAGGTTTCATCAACACAGGATTCCGTAAGTGCATCCATTTTACATATTCTCCAATTATTTTACCTGTTTCTGACTTAGGCGACATTAAGAAATCGCTGGTACCCTTGCACAAACCGCAATTGTCATAGCTTCATTGCCATATTTGGCTATAGCCCTGCCCTTCCTAGTTGGGGCATTAGTCCTGGTTCAGCGCTTTTACCTGCGCACATCTCGCCAGTTACGGCTGCTAGAGTACGTTTGTCTGCGTTAACAATTATTCATCTGATCAACATGCTTTTGCACGTCCAACAAACTGACAACCCCTCAGGATCGAGCTCAAAAGCCCCCTTTACACTCATTTCATTGAATCCCTCGCCGGTGTTGTTACCATCCGTGCCTTTTCATGGACTACCGCGTCTAAATCCAAAATGCTGTATTTACTTGATATGTCCCAACGGCCCTTCTATCTCCTGCTGTGCATTCAGCAATGGCTCGGTCTGGTGCTAAAACTCATGGTGACCGGCATGACGGTCATTATGGTTGGGGCTGCTGTAGCTCTGCGCGGAAGAGTGAGCCCCGGTCTGTTGGGTATTGCGCTGATCGGGATGATGGATCTGGGAGATGTCCTCTCATACTTGATCCAGAGCTGGACCCTCCTGGAAACGTCTTTGGGTGCGATTTCCAGGATTAAGGAGTTCTCGGAAGATACCCCAAGTGAGGAACAATATGCAGCCTATGAGAAGTTGCCAGACACCGAATGGCCAACTAGGGGTGATATCTCATTTGTTGGCGCAGACATTTCATATGAGACTGAGAATGCAGAGCCCGTCTTGCACAGTATTCGTCTGGATATTCGTGCTGGGGAGAAAGTTGGGCTGTGTGGTAGGACCGGAAGGTGAGCAATTAGAGCCTTGAAAACGAAATTTAGCAGAGGTGAAAACAGGCTGACCGTTCACAGTGGCAAGAGCACCCTGGCTCTATCACTACTACGCCTTAACGAGGTGGTTTCTGGCCAGATCCTCATTGATGGAATCGACATATTGACGATTCCTCGACCATTGATTCGGCACCGGATCAGCTCTCTCAGTCAAGAAGCCTTCCTTTTCCCGGGCACCATTCGGCAAAACGTCGATCCTTTAGGCATTGCCACCGATCTCGATATCACCGAAGCTCTGAAATGTGTCGAAATCTGGAATGCTCTTGTGTCTGCGACGAATAGCAACGACAACAGCGGAGCGTTGCTAGATGCAATACTGACTGACACGACTTTATCTGAAGGCCACAAACAGCTATTTTGCCTAGCAAGGGCGCTTCTCAAGAAGAGTAATATTCTCATACTAGATGAGCCGACAAGCAGGTATGTGATTTATTTGAGCCTCTTTACTTCCTGCCATAATTATGCGAGCAATGCTAACTACCCATTACAATCAGTCTGGATGCAGAGACAGATGCCAAGGTCCAGAAAGTCATTCGCCAGGAGTTCCAGAACTGCACTATCATTATGGTTGCGCATAGAGTTCATACCATGCTCGACTTTGACCGTGTGGTTGTTCTGGATAGTGGTCGAATCATAGAAGAAGGACATCCCTCGGAACTGCTGACGGACAAAGAAGGCGTATTCTCGAGTCTGCATCGTCTGGAGCAGTCAACAGGAAGTAAATGGGATCTCTAATTGATCGGGTTTATTAGATTGTACATGGGCAAACAGTAGGACGGCTATCCAGCGAGGAAGATCTCTTATGTATGTGATATAATTAGTGGGAATTCAATGACAGACCAGATGCTCTATCTTAATAGAATATCAATACTAAAGGATAATACATCTCAGATTATATCCATGGATGTAAAAGTCGTTTCCACAAATCAAATATGTTGCCGCTTTCTCTCTACCGTCTATGTATGTATCGAGCAAGGGAGAAAGGACCTCAAAGACATCTGTTATGGCAATCAGGTTAGTGTCTGGCTTATGAGGCCTCATGTATGTAGCTATTTAGGTACGTAGCTTTTAACTTATCCTCCTCACGCTCTATAGACATTTAGGCAGAATATATAGAGAAACCACGAAAACGACCGAATTAACCATGGATCGATGCTCTGAAATATCTAGAAACTCTTTATAGCTTATTCCAATGCATTTTATTTTATCGAACTTGGCAACTTTGGCCGAGCGGTTAAGGCGCTAGACTCAAGAGAACTCCCTCTTCACTGAATACAGTGAGCATTCTAGTTACGAAAGTAGCGTGGGTTCGATTCCCACAGGTTGCAATTCTTTTTTTTTTTTGCTTGTGTGTGTATTGGTTTTGCCTGGATGGCTAAGAGAGAACCATGGTAATCGGCACTTCCATTTCTTTGCAAATTTTAGTCTCTCCTTACGGGGAATTGCCTATGGCAGTTTCTAATCGTGCGCCACGATGTTTCTCATAGTAAATTTTGACCGCCTAGCTCACCGCCGGAATTTTATTATTTGCTTATTCGATCCATAAGGATATTCTCCCCTGTATGTGTCACGATGATAACTGCATTGCTTCCGAAGCTCTTTTCATAAGTGCAAGGGTAATGATGATGGGACCCTTCATTTGGTATGAAATACTAAATACAAAGTCCTAACCAACAAAGTTTCAGGTTGTAAAGGTAACTCTTTACAGATATATATAGAGATCGAAAAATAGTATTCCGACCTATAAGAATCACTCTAACGCTAGCCTTAGAATGTTCTACTTATATGCTCGGTCGCTCTTAAAACTTCACTAGAACTACTACTTACTTCAGCCTAAAATACCGATATATCTTTCCTTTGAATGGACTATAAAGAGTTTCGGACGAAATGCTTAAAGGCATGCCCGAGAGTGGAGACCATTTTACAGGGGAGAGGTATATGTCCACGGACTCACCTCCCAACTTGGTAAATAATGAAGCCAAAAAGAAATACAAGCCGATAGATCTTCCTGAATTTATGCTGACTATTGCCCCCAAATTGTGATACTCGGCGTGAGGTGAACTCCATAGGCTATGACTCTTCTATGAGTAACTGGCGGCAAAGTGTTATTTCGCCGAACCGTTCAAAGTATCCATGAAAATTTTTTCACAGATTGAATATAAAATCCAATGTAAAGAATATTGAAACACAAACCCATTCATTTCATCATGTCCCTCACTTTCGAATGTATCCCCCTCACAGTCGAAGGTGTTAGCCTCAACCTATCAACGGTCCATAGCCTCAACTCAACCCCACCAATACTCTTCCTCCACGGCTTTGGCTCCAGCAAAGAAGATCTCGCTGATCTACCGATCCAGCCATCTTTAAAACACCATGGCTTCATTGCCTACGACGCCCCCGGCTGCGGCCAATCAGTTAGCGACGACGTCTCCGCAACAGATATCCCGTTCCTCGTGGCGACCGCCGAGGCCTTACTCGCGCGCTTCAACATCGACAAATTCCATCTGATAGGCCACTCAATGGGTGGTTTGACAGCGCTCCTCCTCGCAAACCAGAATCCAGACCGTGTCCTCAGTTTTGTGGATATCAAAGGCAATCTCGCACCAGAGGATTGCTTCCTCAGCCGCCAGATCTTCATGTTCCCAGCCGATGACGAAGAGGCATTCATGGATGCATTCGTTGAGCGCACGCGCACGTCGGGATCATTTGCTAATGCTATGTATGCCAGCACCCTGCGCGTCCGAGTCCGGGCTGGTGCGGTTCGGCCTATTTTTGAGTCTATGGTGCAGTTAACTGATCATGGGGACTTGATGGATAAGTTTCTGGCATTGCCGTGTCCGCGCATGTTTATGTTTGGAGAGGAGATGCGTGGCTTGTCGTATCTGCCGTTGTTGGAGAAGGAAGGTGTTGAATTGGCCGATATTGTGGGCGCGGGACATTTCCCTATGTATTCTAACCCTATAGAGATGTATCGTCGCATTTCGGGGTTCTTGGATCGATGCGAATGAGATTAATATACATAGATAGAATTAGAGATAAATATAGACCGATGTCCTCACCCCTTCAGGGCAATACTTCATACCAAGTATGAAGCCTTGGTACTCCGAAAATTGCAGTACTTTGTACATAATCCGAATATCACCTATTGACGGATATTTACAAAAATAAAAACAAAACGTATATAAATGAAGTCTCCAATCATCGAGTGCATCATCGAGTGCAGTATTTGGCCTGCCTGTGCTCCCACACCATTCGATATAAAACCATTCCTGATTCGTCGGGAAATGACTAAGTGAACGGTCACGCTTCCCAACCCGGATCAACCGGATCTGCGATTGAACATGCGATTGGAGTTTGGCAAAATCATTGAAGTTTCAGCAAAATGGTACATCGGTCTCCGATGGACCTCCGCCGAACTAACCACAAACAGTGCGGTAAATCCCCTTTCGGGCTGTCATCAGCACGTTCAGCAGATACAAGCTTTTGCCGAGGTTTATGTGGATCCCCGGTGGATTGGGGGCTGACCTCAATGGCCAGTCGTATCGTATAACAACGAAGCTTTGTTTTCCGGTGAGAGCCATGTTGCATTTGACGTGATAACGAACTGTTTACATATTGGACCGCTATTGAGAGCCCCGAGGTTGGATTTAGTCCTGCATGCTGCATTGACTTCCCTTTTTCACTATATGAAGCAGGATTGCTTAGGGATTCCCTTTTTTTTCCCTCTTAAATCTCTCTACTTTGATCAATTGAAGATTGTCTGGTTCCCACCATGGCGGATAATATCTCCGGCGTCAAAGTGGGTGCCAATGCCCTGGACGAAGGAGAAAAGACGGATAAAAAGGAGGGAACCGTCCCTGTTTCTCACGAGCCCCCGTCTTCTTTCGATGGCAAACGTTCCATGTACTTGGATTCTAGCATCGCCTTTGAGAACTATGTCTACTGGGCCAAGCGATCGCGCGAGGTTGAGAAGCATATTTCGACTGACGATGCGGGACTTGCGTACTGGAGAAAGCGGCTTTTTAGACAAAAGTCGGACGCCACAGTACCGAATACCTCTGCCACCACTGAGCCCAACGACAAGCATAATATCAAAACGAACGGCGATAGCACAGGCGATGGCTGGGGCATCACCGAGACCGAATGGGAACAGGCACAACGGGCTGGCCGAACTGTAACTTGGGGTTCGATCTTCTATCTCATTACCACCGACATCCTCGGCCCGACCAATGTCCCATGGGCAATCAGTCAGATGGGCTACGGACCAGGAGCTGTACTTTACACTGTTTTCGGGGCCATGGCTTGTTACTCCGGCATGCAACTGTGGAAGATCTTCGTCGGTCTCGACTCGACTCGATTCCCGATGCGCAATTACGGCGATGTGGCTTTTCGTGTCTATGGAAATTGGGCGCGCATCTTTGTGAACGTCCTACAAAGCTTCCAATTCTTCCTCAATGTGTCCCTGCTCATTGTAAGCAACGGACAAGGACTGGCACAGATGGTCGTCGGTGCCAATGGCCAAGGGTTCCTGTGTTTCATCGCTGCCGAGGTTATCTTCGTGGTCATTGGCTTTGTCTTTGGGCAGATCCGTACCCTACAGCGCCTTTCTTACCTGGCTAACATCGCGATCTGGCTGAATATCATTGTCGTCATCATGACCATGGCCGTGGTTCACGAGTATCCCCCGAACTATGCAGCCTCGTTGACTAGCTATCAAACCCCAAAAGGACCCGTGAAAACAACCGGTTACTGGCCCGAGGACTCAACCCTCAAAAACAAAGTCAATGCTATGATGAACGCGGTTTTCGCGTACGGAGGCGCAACCCTGTTCAATGAGCTCATGGCTGAGATGAGACGGCCATATGACTTTTGGAAGGGCTTCATCATTGCCGAGATATTCATCTACGTTTGCTACCTTGTCTCGGGCATGGTTGTATACAGTGCGCAGGGTCAATTTACATTCAATCCTGCTTACCAGGGTAAGTCACAAAACATCCAAGGGAGGCTTTGAGACTGCTAACACCCCTACAGGTATTCCAAATTCTGCCTACAGATTTCAGACCTTAGGTAATGCCATCTCATTCATCACCGGCGTCATCGCAGCACTGCTATATGGAAACATTGGTATCAAAGTCTTCTACAACGTGGTGCTGCGCGATATCTTCCGTTTCCCGGACTTGAACAGCCGAACTGGTAAATTACTGTGGATTGGACTCGGTACGTTTATATCTAATTCCCTAAACCCCTATATAAACCCAAACATCTAACAATCTATCTAGCACCTGCCTACTGGGCTCTCGCCTGGGTGATTGCCGCCGCAATCCCGCAAATCAGCAATCTAACATCCTTCGTGGGAGCCGCTTGCATCCTACAGTTTTCTTTCACGTTCCCACCAATGTTGCTGGTTGCGTTCAACATCCAAAATGACGCGATACTCCCCGAAGAGGAGTTCAACCCGACAACCGGCCAGACACAGCGCTTGGACAGTGGAATGAAGCGATGGATCAGAGGATACAAGAAGAAGTTTGTGTGGAACACTTTTGATGTACTGTATGCGCTTGGTGCGGCGGGCGCGGCTGGTCTGGGAATTTGGGCTTCGGTTACTTCCATGCACAAGCAATTCGCAGAGGGCACTCTGACCCCTTTCACTTGTGCGAATCCGGCTGGATAGTTCGAGGTTCAAGGTTGAGTTATAGGGTCGGGGCTTGTTTTGAACATTGACAAATCTCATCGGTCAATGGGTGCTTATTCGAAGGCTTGTGTTTCCTCTTCTTATAGACTTCAGCATCTATTAATAACTTTGTCACCTCTCTGTGCTCGCTTTGTATCGCGACGCTCTATGATTCAATGCTCACTTCATCGTTTGTTCTGCATTGATCCTTGGATATCCTAGCCAGAAGGGAGGGTATAGATAAAAAAAATTGAACACCCTCTATGAACTCAACGCATAGTCCAAGGAGCACATTTAGAGACCCACTGAAGGTAAATATGCTCTTAAAAGGGATTTTTCACTGTTAGAGATTACCTGGGTGACAAGGAATATATACAGATGGTTGCTGAGACACCTACAGTGATTGCTGTAGATGCCTTGCTTGCTAGATTTCCGGAAGGAGAAGATATAATAAAAATGGGTACTAGATGTCATATATTTGATAAAAATGACTAGCTATGCTTATGTACAGTATACCCACGACATAAAATTGAAAATAAAACTCAGGAAACGGCTGAACATAAGATGGGTATCCGGAGTATACCACCGACATGGTCCACAATCTTTATCTCTTCACACGATCCTCAGTTTCAATACCCTGTACTTCATTATGAGTTGAGGTAGCAGCATCATCGAATGAAAGCTTCCTCTCAGGGACTGCAGTTTCAATGTCACGTAATCTGCCAAAGGCATGGAACTTCTCAAAGAGGGCGTCCATCTCCTCGAGAGAGCGACCCTTTGTTTCCCTGACGACGAGGAAAACCCAGATAGACATGATAAAGCAGAAGCAACCAAACATGATAAAGGTTCGCCAGCCAAGGTTATTGATGGCGGCAGGAGTGACATAAGTGACCACAAAGTTGAAGAGCCATTGAGTTGCCGATCCGGTAGCAACACCGTACGAACGAAGGCGAGTTGGGAAAATTTCAGAAATGTAAACCCATGGAATCGGTCCCCACGACGCGGAGTAGCCAATGACGTAGAAATAAATCATGACAATCATAGCGAGGGAGGCAGACGAAATCCCACCGGTACCGTTAGGGTCCGGAGGATAGGACACCAGAACACCACCTAGGATGAACATCATCGTGCACATCCAAAGAGCACCGCCAATAAGAGACCACCGTCGACCAATCTTGTCGATACCAATCACAAGGAAGATTCCGGTGCTAACTACCTTGACAATGCCATAGATACCCGTTGTGAACAAGCTCGTGTTGCCTCCGGCTACTCCAACAGTCTGGAACAGTTGGGGAGCGTAGTATCCGATACTGTTGGTGCCGGTCCATTGCTGCCAGAACATCATCAAGAAGCAATTGACAAAGCGGATGCGGTTTCCAGGCAGGAATGGTTCCCGCCAAGAAAGACCCTGGGTTGATTCGACCTCGTGCTCAACAGCCGCTTTGATTTCCGCCATCTCAGTCAGGACCGCGGGGCTGGTAGTTGACTCGTTGCGCATATATGCAAGGGCATCGAGGGCTTCCTCGATGCGATTCTCCTTAGCCAACCAACGAGGAGACTCGGTCAAAAAGAACAGGCCAATCATCATCAGACCACCCGGCACAAGCTGGAATCCAACAGGGATGCGCCACTGTTTGGTTGTAGGGGCGACTGTTTCTGCCACACCATAGCAAAGCCAGTATGCAACGGTGACACCAATGACGAGGAACTCCTGGAAGAGACCAGCGATACGACCACGGATGGCCGGTGGGCAGTTCTCGGACACGAAGACTGGTGTGATGGCTGACATGCCTCCAATTCCGAAACCGGCAATCACTCGTCCACCGTACATGTATGATAGCTCGCTGTAAGCAGCGGTTTGGACAGCAGAACCGATCAGGAAGAACATGAGGAATCCCATGATGGAATACCGACGGCCGAACTTCTCGTTAACGAAGGAGGCGAGGATAGCGCCGAAGAAACATCCGGCCGTGAGAAGTGAAACGACATTCGATGAGACTTGGGATTTTTTGGCATCTGAGAAACCCGAGCTGTCACCTGTAAGTCCAAAATCGACCTTGAAACTTGGAAGTTCCAGGACACTTCCCATCACACCGGTGTCATATCCTTGGAATTCATTAGTACACAGTATTTGATAGGGAGATTTTGATCTTACCGAATAGGAATGAACCCGTATACGCCACCGTGGCCAGCACATACACACGACTATTCTTGAATATGCCCATTTTCAAGTCTAGACTCCTAGAGTATGAAGTTAGGGAGAAGGATTCGGAAGGTGTTATAAAGCCCTGGGGCACAGACACCCCGCGGTCCCCGCATACTCTGCATAACTATGTGTCTTTTATAATTCACTTAGATTCTGGGGGCAAGAGTACCCCGGATCTATCGTGCCATGGGGTTTTCAATAACCGAGGTAGAGGGTGGATCTAGTACCTTGGAGAAATGACGTTTCTATTCGATATACATGTCGACGGAAAAATTAGGGCAAATAGTTTACGCACCAATCAACTGGCATTTGCTACAAAGGGGAAAGTATGGCGAGCCAAGCCCGATGCCCAGACCGTCTATAACCGGAGCCGAACACTTTTTACCCAACTAATACTCTCTCCATGCCCCTCCCTTTCTTCTATTCACCTCCAACTCACGGAATATATTGTTCCATGTACATTTTGCGTATCTAGGCAATGCCGGGACTTAATAGTGATATCAATCTCTCGGCATCACCCGCCAAGCCTCCCGGGGTCGGCTAAGCCGTTCAAATGCCGATACCATCTCACCCGGGTATACACTCGAATCTAAACAAATCATTCAACTCGGATGGCTCATACGGTTCGGAATACCGGCATTATACTGTTCCTTATCTCCGCGTCTGTCGTACTTTATTCCCCTATAGCCGCTTATTCTCCACATAGTGTAAATATTAATGCCGGGATCAACCGAGTAGGATACTCAGTCTGACCCTCAATGGTTATGTCGAGGCTCTGAGCGCTGCGCAACACGCTGGTACTTAACAGCATCACGTAGAACCATACCCTCACTCAACTGATCAGTCTCGCGTCGGAAGATCTCTTGCCACGGCGTTTGGCTCTCAGGAACAGAGAACCCACCCCGAACCTTAAGATCCTCACGACGACCCTGGAGTTCCTCATCTCCAATCAGAATGTCAACCCGACGCTTATTCAAATCCACCCGTAGCCGATCTCCGTCACGGAGAAGCGCAAGGTTCCCACCAGCTGCTGCTTCGGGGCTGGCATTCAGAATAGAAGGCGAGCCAGATGTGCCGGATTGGCGTCCGTCACCGATGCAAGGAAGTGAGGTAATTCCCTGGCGCAATAGCCGTGCTGGAGGGTGCATGTTGACTACTTCGGCGGCCCCCGGGTAGCCCATGGGACCTGCACCGCGCATAACCAGGATACTTCTTTCGTCGATTAGTGTCGCGGGGTCGTCGAGCCGGCTATGGTAATCCTCTGGTCCGTCGAAGACTACAACGGCACCCTCGAATGCGTTGAGGTCATCCGGGTTCTCGAGGAATCTTTGCCGGAAGGCCGGTGATATCACGCATGTCTTCATAATTGCCGAGTTGAAGAGAGTGCCTTTCAGATGCACGAATCCGGCATCCTTCATCATCGGCTCGGTATATGATCGGATAACCTGCCGGTTCCAGGTATGTTTGTCCCGCACGTTTTGCTCCACGGTTTTTCCATTGCAGGTTAATGCATCTGGGCATAGTTTCCCGGCGTCTAGCAACTCTGCCATGATAGCAGGGAGTCCGCCGGCGCGGAAGTACTCTTCTCCCAAAAACTCGCCGGCGGGTTGCATGTTCAAGAGTAGAGGAATGTGGAACCCGATCTCGTCCCAGTCGTCGAGAGATAGTTCGACGCCGATGTGTTTGGCCATGGCATTGATATGTATAGGAGCGTTTGTGCTCCCGCCAATGGCAGTATTTGTGGCTATGACGTTTTCAAATGCTGCTCTTGTCATGATATCGCTAGGTTTACGGTCTGCGTGGACCATTTCGACGATTCGCTCGCCAGTCTCGTAGGCGCATTGGCCACGCTCCCGGTATGGAGCTGGAATTGCTGCCGAGCCTGGGAGTGCCATGCCCAATGCTTCTGCTAGTGCGTTCATCGTTGATGCTGTGCCCATAGTATTGCAATGGCCGACAGAGGGTGCCCTGTATAGAATCAGCATGTGCTTCTTGCCCATGTTTAACTTCAATCCTGACAGAAACATACCCACGAGCCACATAATCCATGAATTCCTCCCGATTCATCTCCCCAGCAGCATACATCTCCCGTCCCTTCCAGACTACCATTCCTGATCCGGCGAGTTCGTTCTTCAAATAGCCGTTCAACATAGGACCAACATTCAAACAGATGGCCGGGATATTCTGATCACAAATCTGTCAGCTTTACTATCGACAAATGAACAGAACAATAACCTTCCCCCCCCCCCCGGGAAAATCCACACCTACCACAGTAGCAGCCGCCATCAACGCCGCAGGTGTCGTCTTATCACAACCCGTCAAAAGCACAACCCCATCCAACGGATAGGCATACAAAATCTCTACCAAACCAAGATACGCAAGATTGCGATCCAAACACGCTGTCGGTCGACGCGAGCTCTCCTGAATTGGATGCGTAGGAAACTCCAACGCGATCCCACCAGCACTGCGAATCCCCTCCCGCACCCGCTTCGCCAACTCCAAATGGTGCCGGTTACAAGGGACGAGATCCGAGCCCGACTGCGCAATGCCGATAATCGGCTTCCCGGACATGAGTTCCTCGCGCGTCAATCCGTAGTTCAGATACCGCTCGATATACAGCGCTGTCATGCCTGGGTTTTCGTCGCTGTTGAACCATCGTGTTGAGCGGAGCTTGCGGTGTGGTGCTGTAGTACGGACTTGGAGAGTTGCTAGGGTTTTTTCTAGATCGTGGGTTCGCTTGCGGAGGGCGAGGAGCTCGCTTTCGCAGTCTTCGATGTTTGGGGGTGGGTTGTTGGTGCAGGAACAGCCTTTGCAGGAGGATTTGGTGTTGCACGACATCGGGTTGTTTTGTCGGGGTTTTTATTTTGGGGGACTATTACTATTAGGACTTGAGCTTGATAGAAGAAAATCCAAGTCAAGAAAAGGGAAGCCGAGGTCGAAGCCGAATGTCGGGGCTGACCCCGGAGTTCGGCATCCCGGCCCCGGATTTGGTCTGGAAGAGATTGAATATCTCTATTCCGAGAGATAATAGTACAAACAGATGAGTATATGTAGACAATGTAGAATGTCCACCCCCACGCTATCCACACTAATCCACCCCGGAATGAGTGGAACCCGTTTCATATGTCCTACGTCGATGCACATTGTCTACAATGTGTTTTGAAGTCAAGAGGGTCGTTCTATTCACAAGTCCCCTATTAATACAAAATCCCAGACGCCGTCTATGCAAGAAGAATTCTACTGAGCTGCGCACTGTGCCGGTTCCTCGTCGTCTTCCTCGTCTTCCCATCCCGATGCGTCATGGCCATCCTGCGCACCGAATTCTTCCATCCGGCCCTTGGGGTCATATTCGACTTCGTCCACGGTATCGGCCGTGATAGGGGCACTAGGTTTGGGGAGAAGTTCCTTGAGCTTCTCCATCATCTCTGGGGTGGGCTTCCACTTGTTATCGGGGAACTTAACGTCGACAACCAAGTACAGGTCGCCACGGGCATCGGTGCGCTTCATCGGCATTCCCTCTCCGGGGACTTTGAGGACCTGTCCGGGAGAGAGAATACCGCCGGCAGTGAGGGGGTGGTTAAGCTCAATGCCACGGCCATCAAGGTGCTTGATCACAACGCGGGAGAATCCGGTCAAGGATTCAGCAAGAGTGATATCAATAGTTGCGCGGAGATCCGAGCCGGCGCGTGTGAACACAGGGTGCTCTTCCTCAATGATTTTGAAAATAATGTCGCCGGGCTCTTGATCGGGCACCTGGTCGGCCTCGCCTTCCAACACAATTTTGTCTCCTTCCCTAGAGTACAGTCAGTATATAATCAGTTGGATAATTTAAAAAAAAGCAGGCTTACCTCGCGCCTCGGGGGATGTAAATCTCCAGGATCTTCTTCGCCTCGGTCGTTCTCGTGCCCTTGCACTTCTTACACTTATCCTTCGGGGCGTAGTATGAGCCTTCTCCGTTACATGTGGTGCAGACAACCGTCTGCTGGGTCACGAATTGGCCCATGCGCTGCAAGACCTCCTTGTGGCCATGACCATCGCAAGTCGAGCACTTTTTGGCAGTGGCCTTTTCCTTGCCACCCTTGCCCTTGCAATGTCCGCAAATGACGTTCTTGACGCTGGAAAACCTAACAGTCTTGCCCTTGTACAGATCCTCCAGGCTGACTTCATAATCTTGCTCTTCGCTGGGGCTCTTGCGCGGTTTGTTTGGGCGACCACCTCCGGGCATCCCTCCCATTCCTCCCATACCAGGCATGCCGCCCATGCCGCCCATACCACCGAACATTTGTGCCAGCAAGTCGTCCAGATCAGGCTGTCCTGCCATGCCAGGCTCACCTGAGCCGTTAAAGGCAGACATGCCGTGTGTGTCGTAGAGGTGTCGCTTGTCATCATCGTAGAGAATATCGTAGGCCTCCTGCACAGCCTTGAACCTGATCGAGGCTTCCTCGCGCTCGGCTTCGGGGACTTTGTCGGGGTGGTTGGTCAAGGCCGCCTATTAGAAAGCCGACTGTCAGTATCGCTAAACACGGAGACGTTCGGGATTCGTCTTGCCTTGCGGTATGCCTTGCGGATGTCATCTTTGGTTGAGCTCTGATGGATCTCGAGGACCTCTGTATAAATAGATATCTGATCAATATGGTATTTCTTTATAGTTGATCCGCGCAAACAAGCACATACCATAGAGGTCAACTCCAGCAGCAGCCACTGAGAACATTGTTAGTAGAGCCAAATAGTAACACGACTTTCCAACGTACTTATCAGTGATTAGCCGTGTAAAATATGATCGGACTTTTCTTTAATAGAAAGAGGCTGTCAACTTAAGCCCAACGGCAAAAAAGAAACGATGGTGAATGGGATGTGAGAGCGGAAGTTGTTGATTCCAAAGTTGAGAAATTTTGTTCGGGAGCTCCGCGCCGCAACTCCGCAACTCCGCACATCTGAAAGAGATTGGCCACTCTTGTCTACTCGGACTATTTCACAATGAGAAGTCCTCAAGGGATATTTGCCAGGCGATCCTGGTCCTGCATCCAATGCAGAGCCTTTTCCTCTTCTCCGGCTACTCGGGCACCTAATTCGAAGAACAAACTACCAAATGGCCCTGCGCGCACGCGTTTTGCGCCCTCACCCACCGGATACCTCCATCTAGGCTCTCTACGGACAGCACTCTTCAACTATTTGCTGGCAAAACGCACCGGTGGTCAATTCCTGTTGCGAATTGAGGACACTGACCAGGTTTGTGGGTTGCGCTCCGTTGCATGGACTACGGCTGATTACGGTAGAAACGGACGATTCCCGGGGCAGAACAGCGACTTTACGACGATCTACAATGGGCAGGATTAAATTGGGATGAAGGTTAGTTTAAAATATATACAAATATTGAGGACAATCGCTGACTCTCGCCTTGCTGGCAGGTCCCGTCGTTGGTGGCCCCTACGGACCTTATAGACAAGTGAGCTATACTCCTTTATCGCAAGCAAATAATTCCTAACTTTTTGTTCCTGTGCAGTCCGAACGAACAGCTTTATACAAGTCCCATGCCAATGACCTTATCTCTAATGGACATGCATACCGATGCTTCTGCTCCGCAGAACGATTGGATTCGATCGCCCGTCACCGCAGCCAGGCAGGACTGCCGCCTGGCTATGACCGAAAATGTGGCGATGTATCTGCCGAAGAATCGGAAGATCGAGCAGCCAAGGGGGAGGCACACATTATTCGATTGAAAGTGGATGAATACCCCATGTTCAATGATCTGGTTTATGGCAAATCTGGTCAGAATCGGCCAAACAACTCGAAGTTGGATTTCATCGACCGTGTATACAATGACCCAGTTCTTATCAAATCGGACGGACATCCCACGTACCACTTGGCAAATGTCGTGGATGATCACTGCATGAAGATCACGCATGTTATCCGAGGAACAGTGAGTTTACTTATTATATTTGTAGTTATCACGTCACAGGATACTGAACTAATATCTATCAGGAATGGATGGCATCTACACCTATGCACATGGCGCTATACAATGCCTTCAAGTGGACGCCGCCAAGCTTTGCTCATGTCCCTTTGCTCGTCGACCGGAATGGACAAAAGCTCAGCAAGCGCAACGCAGATATTGACCTCTCGTCATTCAAGGATAAGCAAGGGATCTTCCCAGCCACCTTGGTAAACTTTGCTTCGCTCCTAGGCTGGTCGCATTCCGAAAAGTCTGATGTGCTAAGTCTGAAGGAGCTGGAACAAATTGTATGCTCTTCTCAGTCTCGCAAAAACGCCGTAATTTCACAGCTAACAATGCTACCAGTTCAATTTGAAAATCACTCGAGGCAACACTGTCGTGTCTTTTGAAAAACTCCAGTTCCTCCAGAAGGCACACATCCAACGCCTGGTCAAAAGCGGCAGCCCCGAGTTCGACGAAATGGTAAAGAAGGTGACCTCGGTGGTGGAAGAAAGCCACCCCCTCGACAAACTGTAAGTCAGCTATCGGCCGTGAAGAACTCACGTAGAGGTTATATGGCACCTGATGACTAACACCTATCAGTACCACGATCCTCAAAGGTCGCACTCTCCCTGAATACATCGCGCCCCTCATCCGCGCAGATGTCAACAGCTACACAGATGCAAAGGAGTTTGCCCAGCGCAACTCCGTCTTCTTTACCCCAAAACTCGACAGACCCCCTTACAAACCGGTCTCACCCCAATCCTCCCCGGAAGTCCCAATCCAAGCCCTGCACACCGCAGCAGCCGCTTTAACCCTCGTCCCATCCGCACTCTGGAATATTGAAACGCACCGCGATAACATTAACAGCTACGATGGTGCGGAAAGCATAATCATTTCCGCGTCTGAGTCAGATACACCCGTCGACTTTAAGAACGCAGGCAAAATATTCAAGAAGGAGCTGTATCATTACCTCCGTTGGGCACTGTCGGCCTCTGCGCCTGGGCCTGGAATCTCAGAGACTATGGTAGTTCTCGGGAGAGATGAGACACTTCGCCGAGTGCAGGATGCCAAGGCGTTGACACAGTCCTTGGTTCCTTCTGCTGGTCGGAGAGTTCCTAAGGGAACTTTGCCTGAGGATCAGAGTTGGATGGGGAGCCTCGCGACTAACCGGTAATGTAACAAAGAGATCGAATGACTGTACAAAAAGATCCCTTGAGCGCAAATAGCGCGCCACATCTCGACAAAAATACAAATATGATTTGGAGGTCTAAAGGTCTCAAAGAGGGTCAATCATGAACAAGTTAGATCGCAGGACGTATGTACCTAGTATAAAAACTCGCACGTTCCACTCACTTTGCTCTCGCTTTTCTCTCACTTCTACTACTAAAAGGATCAGTGGCCCTTCGCATCTGACCGTTTCTCCATTTCATTTTGTTCAAAAAATAAAGAAAATAAACATGAGCGCTCAACTCTAATTATATCCCGAAGGGCCGGGAGCGGGAATTGGTCTTGTTGAAAGAAAAGGATCTACGGCTGCTGCTCGAGATTGAGTGGGCCCGGGCCTTCTATGTCAATGGAAAAGTTGTCATGTAATAGTTTGGTATTAGTAATTATTCATTGGTCTATGTATAGATAGAATGGATGATGGGTTTTTCTTACCCTTAAGCGCTTATTGCGTCAGTCAAGTTGAGGTGCATATATACAGCTCAAAACATCACAGATATTTTGATTAAAAGATCTTATTATAAGTTATCCTAATAAATATTTAGCCTCGCAAACTTGGCCGAGTGGTTTAAGGCGCCAGATTTAAGAGAGTTATCTCATAAACCCTGGTCACGAAAGTGGCGTGAGTTCGAACCTCACAGTTTGCATTTTTTTTTTAAAAAAAAAAAAACTTGTTCCGCTCTTTACAAATACATCGTAATCAGAACGAAGGATAATAACAGAAAAGATTATGCAACCTGCGGGATTCACCCACGCTACTTTCGAAGAATATCCACTGGATTCAGTGAAAGAGGAAACTATCTTAAGTCTACGAGATGATAAATCTCAATTCTCACTATCAACTAAACTGGCGTCATAGTCCAGCTCGGTCGAGGGACGCATAGAAGGCAGGCCAGACAGAAGAAACAAGTACCAAAGTCCCCAAAAGGCAGACGGAAAGAAACAATCCGTCCTCGAAGGTTTCTTTCTAAAGATTCAAGGTTATACTCGAATGTCAAGTAATTTGACATTGTGCATCTCTCAGAATAGGGTTCAGCAGTTGCTCATGAGCCACCGGTTGGTGTGGCATAGGGCGTTGATATCACTCCCATACTCAAGGTGGGGAATCAGAAGGACAATCACCTCGTCGATGAGATCGAGAAAGCCCATTTGGGCGAGGTACTACCCTTAATGACGCGGCGGAAAACTTGATTTGTCGAAATCGTCATGGTGGTGCCCGTCTAGGACGTAGGACTCTTGTAGACAAGAAAGTTAACAAATTCATAAAAGGTCTCTGCTTGCCCTGTATGAATTACATGAGCAGTAAGTCCAACCAGGCAAAAAAAGGACGACGAGGCCGAGACCAACATCTCCGACGATGGAATTTTGAATGACAAGTTACGCCCCCGAACCCTACAACAGATCAAGGTAGATACCATTGGTGGTAGCGCCGTGCACAACTGTGCATGCGGGACCAAGCTCGAACGGCTAATTTGGGCTAAGAGCCACGGAAAGCCCCTTCTGGATTTACCCAATAAATGGATAGTTCACAAGCTCGGTCTTCTTTGTCGCAAATGCAAGTCAACGAAATACAATGGGCTTTCTGTCCTCACGCCCTTTTTATCTCACCTTCGGCCTGAAAGCGATATCATGCAGGACTAGTGGGAACTGTATGATCCAGTTTTAGCAAAAAAACAGGAACTAGTTATATGCTTAGACATTTTATGTAGGGCTAAGATTCTTACACTAGCCGAGCAGCACAAAACAAAAAGTCGGCTCTTAAGGGAGCCGATTTCAACAGCAACGAGCTTGGACCTCTACATGATGTTGCTGACAAGTAGCCTTTCGGTGAAAGGAGTGGGGTGGGAGGTTCAATCTTTTGTACTCCGTACTACTTTTCGTTCTGCCAGCCGTCTACCTACCGCGTCGAGCTATAGAGCAGAGCGCAAGCGGCGCTCGATAGCAACGTAGGTAGAGGATGGCTTCTCGATTTAGTGTTGTATTGAGTCTTTTTTATCGTCTTAATATAACAAACTGGCTAACTCCCTGATGGCTTTCTTAGTAGTGCGAGGCTGGCCCGAAGCGTTAGCCCTAATTACTAGTATTACAGGTATAGAGTAAGTCTAGTGCGTGCGGGTGTAGAAACTCGAGTAACGAGCTGAGCCAAGCCCGTACCACGTCCGGCCCATTCATATCTAGAAGCATGTCTAATCTCAGCGACTCCTATTGTGGCCGTAGTTCGCCACTCGGATCAACTTCACGTAAGTGCAACGAATCAGCTCGACGCGTTTGTCTCAACGCATACCGGTGCGGTGCCAGGCCGGTTTCCGGTTCGGCTGTCGCATCGACGAGGTCGAGGATCTTGAAAGGCTGCCAGGGTGGGTTAGTGGCGCTACCGGTGTGGATGTGGGGTTGACGGCGTGGGCGAATTGGGCCTGGGCGGAGAAATCCCACTCGGAGGGAAGAGGAGGTATATATGTATTGCTGTTATGCGGAATATAGTATCCCGCGGGAAGTGAGTTGAGGCGGCCTAAATCTTAGAGATCTCCCACGGAAAGGGAGGACCAGGTAAGATATTAGTATGTCCCCCGAGGCGCACAGTGGAATAGTCTTCTACACGATTCCTGCCTGTAGTCTTTTTTAGTCCAGTGCGATTGGCCAATAAAAGCATCGTGCCTTCTTTTGCTGTCTCGGCTCATTGTAATCAGTGTCATATATGTACTCGATAAAACACCTATTTGAAATACATTATCAACCCTACGGCTCTACAATATATCTAGGAACGCTATATTTGGCCTTGAAAGTGACCGAGCAAGCTAGAAGACGACTTGTTTATATTTAGATACACTTAGTGATTTCTGTCGGCCAAGAGTCCTTGCCCTAGCCGTCATGGTCTAGAATCCCTCTTTATATATATTTTTTTTCAGTTGGAACATGCCCAAAGAAGCACAGGTTTAATGATATGTTGTCTCGGGCTACGGAGTATAGATAACACGATATGTCACCAACGAATCCCAGGTTGACTATGTATGAAACGTGATGAGCTTCGATTAAGCTTGATGATGGCATGCTACAGGGGAATGAAGCGAGAAAAAAATCATCTCACCCGGGCTGTTAAGGAAGTCTAGTGACCTAAAAGGGGCTCGAGGACATGAAAAACAAAAACGTATTAGTGTTCAGAGGTCAAAGAAATTGTTGTCGCATTATCTTGCGTCAATAGCTAGCACTAGACTAATTTTTGTCAAACAGTAGAATTTTTTCCAACGTTTCTATTATTGTAGAGCCGAGCCGTGCGTCATGTCATGTTGCAAATCCAGCAAGGATTTGCTTGGCGATCGCCTACAGCGAGGCTCTGGACCAGGTGGCAACGCAATGATTTCTGGTTTGTTGAGTCGGGATTCTGATTATGCATGAACAGGGATACTCAAACACGGATAGTGATGAATTTGTCGAGGTGCGACATGCAGTCATCACACCACGTATCAGCTATGCTGATCATAGCGAGGGTGATACACAGATAATCGAAGGTTGTGGAAACAACGATTCATTAAGGAATGCCGGTTTTAAATAGACCAAGCTAGAAGAAAATCTGGCCAGGCTTGCAAGCAGCTAGCACAACACCGAGAAACATTGCATAGGGCTGAACCACGAGAGCGCCACAAAGAACTTTGCAGCCTGGAAATTTCCCGTCGGGAATATGTGCCAAGCTGCCAAGTGCTCGAGGCTTTATAATATTGAGTCAGAAAGTTCCCGTGAAACCTATTGACTACGATTAGGGGGAGCTATGACGCTAAAAAAGTAAGGGATCAGCCCTAAACAGGACAATAACAGGAGATGAAAAATCCCGCGAGCCAAACGATGGGACTGCCAAGGCTCGGCCGGTCCCGCACGTGAAAATCTCTGAGGTCAGCGGTTACTAATCCACAATTTCAGCCATTTCAGCCACTCGAATGCTACGGGCAAATGCGGGAAAGTCTAGAGCTACCCGTTGTGGCTGAGGCTAAGGGTCAAAGTGGATCAACTGACTTTTTCTGTGTGGACCGCCAAATATCAGCACACACATTCTTGATTTCTACTTCACATATATCTACATCAAATCACCATGGCGACATTCCTCCAGTTAAATGCCCAATCTCTAGCACACGCTCTTGCTGAGCTCTAACATCGGCCGTGCGCGTGCGTGCTACTGCATGTTGCCGATTGCTGCAAGTCCAAGCTCTTTGCAACACTCCCTATTCGCCTACCCTCCATCCTCATTTCCTGTTATCAGGGACAAAGCTGTTCCTTCTCCAAAGCTGCAAGCTTATCACGACCCCTTTTCCTCGTTAAAACACGCCAACCCCTACTCACCGCATCGATAACAAAAAATACCTTGCTGTCTGGCCAGTGCTGTTTGAATTGGACATTCCCAACCAGTCCTTGCCTCAGATTACAACCTCGTGCCAAGTGTACTTGTCCTTGCACATTCTTTGTTCCCAAAAAGTTCTCAGAGGGTCCTTCACCGAGCTTTTGTGAGCGCAGAAGACCCGTCAAATTCCTATCTCAACTTGAATTTTTTGACCGATTGGATATTTTTTATTGTTTTTCGCCATGGCTGTCGACTTATAACCCGATACAGCCCTTGATTCTTTGCACTTCAGTGTTTCTATATTAACTTGGACTTCTCCCCCGATTTTCGCGGAGTCATCGTTTCCACACACCTTTTTATCTTGATACCATTCTCAATCATGGCCCCCAATCTCTTCCTCTGTGCGCGCACTATCTTCTGCCCTACCTACTGGTTCCAGAAGGGTGATGGCAAAAGCAATCTCAAGGAACAACACTGGGAATCTCCCGTCCCGGGAACATACAAGTTCCTCCCGGGTCGCGGATGGCACCTCATCCATCGGGATGGGTGCGAAGACGATGAAAAAGTCCCTGCTGCGCTAGTTTACTGCCGCATCCTCCACCGTTACATGTTTGAATCCGAAC